AACTGTCACACGTAAAACCTTACATAACCTTGGGAAGTACAAGCATCAATCGAGAGCCACCTTCGGTTCAGAGTTTCACATAAATCCGATCTGTTTCGTAGGGACCCTTGGACTAACCTAATATCATGCTTTCAATGGCGGTAACCCGCTTGGCGCATCATAGAAATCTTTCAGATCTTCTTCATCCTCCTCGAATTCGAAGCCAGAATTCTCCCCCTCGGTTTCGTCGCCAGCGAGCTGAACACGGGAAAGACGACTGCGGGTTCCGGAACCGATATTGCCCGAAGAAGCAGGTGTTCCGTCCCTTTGGAACGATTCTGAGGCCACCTCCCGAGGTAGGCGCATAGCTAGGTACCCATCCGGCGCACGTTCGGCGCGATCCATGATATCATTCATATATTTGCGCACCTCGTCGGCTGGCTTGACGACTCGCGCTAGAGGCTCGAGGATTTTGGCATTAGGGGCATGGATGCGGAACGTTACTGGTTGCCAGTATTCCTTAAAATTTGCCTCATTGGCAGGAGTCCCTGCGAGCCCGGGGGTTAGGAGGCCTGTTTGATCGGTGGGTTCCTGCTTTTGTGGTGTTCCCGTTGTGGGTGTGCATGGCTGGCTGGGCGCTGGGCTATCGGTTGGTAGTTTGTCCTTGTCGATTTTGACTTTCGGTTCACTCTTCTTAGCTTTCGATGCCCCTTTGCCTTTGCTTTTGGAGTTGGCAGCTTCTGTGGCGGTTTCGAGAGGGAAGGTTGTATTTGGAGGAACCTTCCGGACTACCAAAAACGAGGCGATGACCGTGTTTTCGGCTGGGAGCCATTCCAGAATGGTATACTCAGGGAAAAGATAGCGGTCACCCGAACCGGCATGACCTGAAGTACTACTTCCGTATGGAGTCAAGGGAGAAGTGAATTCAAACACGACAGACTTGTAGTTTATCGGTGGAGATCCAAGTGGGGATACGTAAGAGATTGAAGGCGGGCGGGTGAATGGAACAGGCGTAGCAAATTGGGGTGGTCGAGACTGAAGTGGAGGTTGTGACCCATAAGAAGGTTGCTGGTGGGGGGCATATGGTGGTCCGGGTCGTGCTCCTGGCTGCTGAGCGCTGGCTGGTGGTGTCGGGTTTACCACGGGAGTCTGCTGCTGCGTAGTAGAAGTAGCGGCTGGGGTGCTTACAGCACCAGGAGTCGCTGATGGGGTCGGAACCACTGGGCGCGCTGCTTCGGACGGCGCAGACTGGGAGGTGCTGTGTTCTGTGGCTGATTGCTCTTCCTTGGCAGCGGTCGACCCGGTGGCACTCTGGGGAGGCTTAGGAGCCTGGCTTGGTGGAGCTTGCGCAGGGGTCGGAGGCTGCGTCTCCGTCTTCAGAGGTGGCTGCTTCGGACCTTTGGATGGGGTCTGAGATGTTTGTGGGGATTTCTCTAGCGATACTGACTTCGTCCCACCATGTTGTTGTTTCTGGGTCTGGGTCTGGGGTTGTGGAGTAGGGGTTGACTGTTGCGTAATGGGTTGTCCTGCTGAAGATTGCTGCCGGTGTTCTTGCTGCTCTCTTGATTTGATGATTGCATTGAGTTCGTCGATATGTGCTTGGAAAGCCCGGAGTTGCTCCTGGGATGCTTGGCTTGACGCAACAACACGCATCAAGGCCTTGAGTTCAGGGTCAGCAGCTGCCCTTGTGGCTAGCATTTGGATCACAGGATCCGGACTGGGCTTGGCTGGCTGGCTCTTTTGCCCTTGTGGCGGCTTTTGTCCTCCTTGAGGAGAGGGTGCGTTCGGGCCACGAGCTTGTTGGGGCGAAGGGTGGCTGCCTGTATACCCAGGGCGACCTGGAGGAGCGGGAGAATATTGCGCAGGTCGTTGTTGATTGGATGACGTGGGATACGGTCGGTATTGTTGGAAGTTATTAGGGTGGCCGTAGTGAACCATCGGTCGTTGCGGGGGTGCGTATTGCAAGGCCGGCGGCGCACTGGGATCTTTGACAATGTAAATCGTAGCATCAAAGAAATGGGGACCGATGGTGACATCGCAGGGCCCGATTTTTGCCATAGTGTCCTTTGACGGGTTGTTCTTCTCGATCTGCTCGCGCTTCGTCTTCTTTGGCTTTGTGTAGTATCGAACAAGAATGCCATCGCTCAGCCACTTTTTCTTCGATCGTTCGAGTGAAGCGAGGAGAACCGCACTGTTGAGATAGGACAGAGAATAATGTCAGTCATGCAACACCAATGGGGGCCGCGATCGCAAACCTTTCGGCGATTGATTGATACTCATTGTCCGACAAGGATAGTGCCTGTCGCGTGCGGACAATAGGCAAAGGATCTCCATCCTTAACCTTTGTTGGTAAAGGAGCGTCAACTAGTTCGGGGGATGGGGCGCGAGGAGTTGGCGCCTTTTTCTTGTGAGACTGCGGCGTGGCTTCGGAGACACGTCTTTTGGCTGCAGATTCGCGGCGGTCACGCGCAGGGAGCTTGCGCTTTTCGGCCATGGAGAATTCAATGATATAATCTCGATACCCACGATGGAAGTATAACAAACATTCTATAACGGAAGTTTGGATGGAGAGAGGGTGGAAGGGAGAAACGAGAGACGCGCCGCTTATCGCCGCCTCTGCCAAGATTGTCCGCTCACCTCCGTTGGTGGCTGCCAACAGAGATCAATCAACTCAACCCCAAAACGCATAATGGTTGAGCTTAAGCCTATTTTTAGGAAGGCTTACTGGTCCCTTGCAGCAGGTGGCCTGCTATATGTGCTGTGTATCCTCTCCTTGACCTTCCCAGAGGTTCAACGTTCGTATGTATCTAGTTCCCCCCGGGCCTACCCCCAGAGTGAGCTAATACAGATAACACAGTGTTCTTTATGCCAACAAGATCAATCCCAGCTTGTGGCAGGATGTCAACCAAGTTGAACAGTTTGGATTTTTAAGTATGGCATCCCTAGGAGAACAACGGAAGTATGTTTGCTAACCGATCCCCAAAGGAACCCAAGTCCAACCGTTTCATTTGGTGACGCCCGACAATGAAACCATTTACGGCTGGCATTTGATGCCCTTGCATCTTTGCCTGGAGTACGAAAAGGAATTAATGGAGAATCCCTCTACGGGCCCAGCGGAGGACTACACGAAGACAGTTGCCTACAAGCTTCTCGCCAATGACCCCAATGCACGAGTTGTGGTAAGCTGTAAGTGATAGACAACCTAGATTCCGACTGCACAAAGCTGACAGGCAAGTCCACGGAAATGCGGCGCACTTGGGTTCCGCTCAACGCCCTGCCACTTACAACTCGATGCTAAGCCTATCTACCCCATCAAACCCAGTCCACGTCTTTGCAATTGACTATCGCGGCTTTGGTGTTAGCACTGGAAATCCCACTGAGGAAGGCCTTATCACGGATGGTGTGTCCCTCATTAACTTCCTTACCGCAGGGCCATTAGAGGTTCCCACCTCCCGCATCGTCATCGTGGGCCAAAGTCTTGGAACTGCAGTAACAACTGCAGTGGCAGAGCGTTTTGCATTCGGATCATCTGACCCAGCAGCTATCCAACCGGCTATCAAGAACGCCGATCCATTTGCTGGCGTGGTCCTATTGGCATCTTTCAGCAGCCTAGCCAATCTCATCGAGTCCTACAGCTTCAAAGGCCTCACCCCGCCTATGCTCTCTCCTATTATGGGATATCCTCGATCTCAACAGTGGCTGTTGAGCCACATTGTGGACCACTGGGACACGGCTGGGAGACTGGCGCGTCTCACCGGCGTTAATACTACTTCCTTGAACGCTGTAGATATGGGCTACACCGATAAAAGCCTTGATCTCACGATAGTTCATGCTTTTGATGATGCTGAAATTCCCTGGTATGAAGGACGCCGCGTTTGGGAGGCCGCCACGGGCGGACATGTCAAGGGTGCTCCTGGTGCTATGACGTATCTCAAATCTGAGGATGGCAACCCTAGCGAGGTCAAGATCTGGAAGAATGAGATCAGCAATGAAGATGGTAGTGAGGTTGTCAAGACAGTCAGATGGGAACGGATTCGATACGGTGGTATGTTGAAGCAACACCCTCTAGCTATAAATTCGACAGACTGACCATAATTTCTTAGGTCACAATCGCGTTGCATCAGGCTCAGTGGCTGGTATCGCTGTTATGAGGGCTTTTGAGCAGTAATGGGCCGACATATTGATAATCCCTATAAAAGCCTTGGGAAATACATAAACTCACTGATCCTAGCCAGCGTAAGGGTCACGGATGGACAGCGCAACAATCTCAAGAAACGATAAACCACATGTCTTTCATTAATTACAATGTAAATTTCATTAAAGATCACCGCCTAAGGCCCTAGTATACCGCAAGGCAGATGTCGTTACCGAGCTATTCCTTATGCCACGAGAAACGCCATTTATTAGTATCTATCCGAGGTATTTAGACAATATTTGATCAATCTCGAACCATCCACGAGATTTGATTCAGTTCTTCAATGTCGGGGTCCCATCAACTACCACAGTGTCCGTTTCCTCGTCACTACTTTCCTGGGGTGACACCAAGGCTTGTTTCCTTTGCTCCCTATGATAATATGTCAGCTTAATATCCATCAATATTTCAGGACGGGATTTTACCTTCGCCATATGTAAACAGAAGTTACGAAACCAGCCCACAGCAGGAAGAAAAAGACAAATGATACTGGCCATCCCTTTCGCCATCTAGGCGCACCGTCGGGGCCGGCGGTTGGGTATGCCAGCAAAGGAACCCAGATATTGAATGAATAGCCAAATGTCATCATGGAGCCCTGTAATGCAAGAAAGATGCTGGTCAGTATGATTTATTTTGTCCGCTGGATAAAGGAATTGCCGTACCATTATGAGAGCACGCTCCTCCGCATCATCCCTCACTATCACATTGATGGTGGAATATAGAATTGGACTCAAGCATCCAGCCGCTCCGAAGACATACCAGGCAACGAATCTTTGAAGAGGCTTGTTAGTAACACGGACTCGATCTGAGGATTGGTTAACGAGGTATCTTACTTCAGGCCTGTAGGGATGTTCCAAACTATCATGCATAATGTTGAGAATAGACAGCATGCCGATGCAATGGTGTAAATGATCCATTCCGGATAAATCGCAGCTAATGTTGTTCCTAGCCATGAGGCCACGATGTTAATCGCGTAAGTAACAGTCGGCAGCTGGTTGATTTGAGTCACTGAGTATCCCTCTTGTTTGAGCCATAGGCTCATATAGCTGCTTGGATAGGAGCAGATGATCATGCATCTAAAACCAACGTTAGTAAATTGACTATAGCAGTGAATCCTTTCCAAACTTACGCGTAGCAAGTGATAAAGACCCAAATGTGCCATCTCTTAAAGGTTCTCTTAAAGACGTCGAGACTCATTTTGCCAGGCTGGCGAATCTTGGCTCTCTTAGTTCTCTCCTTGGCCAATTCAATATCACGGTCCGTCAGATAGAATGGCTTAGGCGAGCCCGGAATACCGGGAAAGATAAGGAATCCGAGCAAGGCCACGGGGATGGTAAATATGCCGTCAATTACGAACAGCCACCTCCACCCTGGCATACCCCCAACACCAGAGAGGTTGGTATAAGCCGCTGCCTGAAGGTATCCACTAACCATAGTACCGAGCGGGTTGCAGATGAACCATGTTCCGGCTCGTTTGAACAGTTCGGGACCTGTGTACCATGAGCCTTTTTTATGGTTAGTATACCAGATGACTATATATATTGGTCGAACTTACCGAGAATGAAATGCGTTCCAGCAAAGACAGGTGCTTCTAGCATTCCAACCAAGAAACGAAGGGCATAGAGCTGGTGTACGTTCGTGACACGGCTTTGGGCAAATGTGCAAATACCCCAGAGGACTTCGAGTGTAGGTAACAACCAGCGAGCCCTATGTGATGAGTCAGTCGCTTGGTATGAGTGGGAAAGAATTTTAATTCCTGATACTCACAACTTTGGGCGTGACATGAGCAGTAGTCCAGGAATCTGGAATAGCACATACGAACAAAAGTAGCAGACATTGAAGTAGTTGAGCTCATTGCCGTACAGACCGAAGTCCTCTTTCAAACCACTAACATATGCATTGCTAATGTTTGTCTGGTCTGCGATATATTGGTATCGAGTCAAAGGGCATTGAATGTGGAAATAGGCTTACCCAGATACTTGACAAAGACTGAGTTCGTTAGTGGCGTCTCTCGGGTGCACCATTTGGACTTGTGTACTTACAGCAGAGACAAGCAAATATCAGAATGGACAAGTCCAACTTGAATAATAATCTGGCAACGTCAGTATAGATCGACTGAGATACTCTCCCAAACCTTGATCTGCTTACTTTCTCTCCTCGGCAGGATATGAAGATGGGTACCAATTAAATACTTCCTTGAAAAGTCCCAGAGGGGACAATCTCCCGGCCTTGGGTTTCAGGTCAGACATGAAAGGCTCGGCAGACGTCCGATGCTGTTCCTAAAGGCGCAAAAGACAAAGCACATTAAATTATAGACCACCGCCATTACTTATAGGATCTCTTGATATAGCATCTCGGCATATAAAAACCAGCTAGCCGTAGAGATGTTAACCAATTTCCCCACTCGCTGTCACCATCGCTCGTTCGGGAAATTTTAATCGTCAAAACAGACTATCCACGAGGCTAAAGGACGTCTGGAACTGAAGCTAACACATTTGCCGTTCACTTTGATGCGCCGGCGGAGACGACATGTTTCTGCATGATGGCGTGCGCGAATCCCGGTCTACCACACGAAATCCGGAAATTGGCCGTTATCTCAGGCCTCATCGGACGAATTTATTGCGTGCTCTTATGAAATCCCTCCGGTATCTGATGCGGGGGTATATCATCGGAATGGTGTGCGAATCGACTTATATACGACGTGTGTTTCCTAAGGTGTTGATGTGGAAACGAGCTACTTGAAGTCGCTGCATATACTTGTTCGCCTCTCGGAAACTCATAGACTGCCCAAAATGCCGGGCAAATACATTGAAAAATATGATCAGGTCCCTGTGACCAAGGAAGACCGTGGGTAATGCTGATTTCTTGGTGCTTTCGTCTTGCTGACTGCTCGGGGATCAGTTGACTGGGCTGAACTTATCACACTGGATCTTAACCAGTATGACCAACCTGGAGGAAAGGAAGATCTTGTCAAGCAGCTCGATCACGCTGTTAGAAATGTTGGTGAGTCGACGCTTCTTTGTGCTCCGTGCTGAGGCCGGGGATATGAATTCGAGTAGGCTCAATCCTTGGTTTAGTGCTAATCAGACTTGAAACAGGATTCTTCTACGTTAAGAACTTTAACATCAGCCAAGAAGAGATCGACAACCAGTTCGCTTTAGGGCGGGAATTCTATGCCCTGCCACTTGAAGAGAAACTCAAGTTCCACAGCGCCAGTGATCTTGAAAGAGGTGAATATAACTCTTACCGTCCTGCAGGGCACCGAATGTAAGAAACAGATCGCCCTCAGAGACATATTGGAGAAACGCTAACACATAACTCAGCCTAGGAAATGGCATCAAGGATAATGTCCAGGTATACAATATTCCAAAGTTCGACGGTTACCACGAGCGTCCCCAGCCCTCTGTCATTGCCGAAAACATTAAGGAGATTGAAGCTTTCAGTCGGGTAATTTTCCTTTTATCATCGTTGTCTATTCCTTTAACTGACCCGAACTAAAGAAATGCCACACCGAAGTTGTTGAGAAGCTTCTCCGCCTCTTCGCAATCCTGCTCGAGCTGCCAGACGAAGACCAACTAGTCCGCGACCACCAATACGACGTCAAGGGCGAGGACCATCTGCGCTATATGCATTATGCAGCCCGCAGCGCTGAGGATAACAAGAAGGTCGGTGAGCTCTACAGTCCCGGCCACACAGACTTGGGAACAGTTACTCTTCTGTTCCGACAACCGGTAGCTGCACTTCAGATCCTGAACTCAGAGGGTCAATGGAAGTGGGTCAAGCCCCAGGACGGGACCATTACTATCAACACATGCGACGCCCTCACTGCGCTCACGGGTGGCTTGATTAAGTCGAGTATTCACCGGGTCCACGCACCCCCTGCTGACCAGGCTCATATTGATCGATTGGGTGTGTTGTATTTTGCTCGGTAAGTTCCTTTGGCTATGCGGCACCGGAGTCTTCAGGGTCTAATGAATATAGCCCCAACAACCACGTTATCCTTGACCCAATTCAGAACAGCCCCCTCCTCCAGAGACTTGGCTTGACTACCAACGCGTTCACCGAACTTGGACAGCACCTGACGACTGAGCAGTGGGTTAAAGTTCGACAGACACAGCAGCAGCGAAAGAATCGGGATGTCAAGATTTCTAGTGAGGGGAAATACACCTATAAGCCGAAGGATCTCGAGATCATTCCTGGCCTTCAGGCGGCGATCTACAACTAGTCGGGTCGGTGTATGATGTGCATCTTGCGTTAAATGATTGAATTTCCCGGTATGAAAATAGCAAAGAGCAACTGCAGTTCAAAGTCAAGTGATAAAGAACCTCGGTCCGACTTGGAAGTAGACAAATAGTGTAGTATCCAAAAATAGAGCAGAGTACGCCGAATCTCCTTTGCCGATGAACGCGTCTGCAGAAGTGGATTCCAGTGACGTCGTTTTCTAGGAACGATCAGCAACATCTTTCGGGGGGAAAAGTCCAGCGAAACAAGGTCAATCACTCAATCACTCAATTACCCAAAAGAGATTCCTGCTGTAGAATCCTGGTCAATATCCCTACTCGCTATTGTTGTACCCTGCCCACTCCGATACTAGACCCGAACAGATCCCGATATCAGCCCTACGTCAGACTCAGCCCTACGCCTTATCATTACCATTTTTGCTTCTAATTCCACTTCGTCATTCTCCGCGCCCATGTCATTCCCAGAATCCAAAAAATACTCCCAATCCAAGGGAGCAAAATGCTTCACCATGAGCCCAAACCCCTCCAGCGACTCATTGTACCTGGATTCCAATGTTGCACTCGGACAACGGAGGCAATCCGAGGTCGAGATGGAGGCAAATGACGCCGCTTTCCATAAAGCCGAAGGACAGGAAGGACAGGAAGGTGTTTTTGCGGGCATGAAACATCAACTCGACTCGATGGCTCCTGGTGGCTCCATGTCGGAGTTTGGAAATTCCGTTAGCTCCGCCGCCCACGAGAAGATTATCGCCGCGAAGGATACTCTAATGGACGAAGCGTATCCTGCTGCGCAGGGAGCCTTACGTACCGTTCAAGGTCACATTCGCGCCATGTCAGGTGGATCAAACGAAGCTCAGGAGATGGTACCTGAAGGTATATTCATGCATGAGTTTCCTGGCAGCACGTATGACTTGATTGCTGATGACTGTGTTATGTTTTAGAACCTTCCCAGGAGGAACGCGAATGCGTTGATAAAATGAGCAACGAACAGGTTTGCGATTTCCTACGAGAGAGACATATGAGCAATAAGCACACACAGCGAACAAAGTAGATAGATCATACATTTTTGGCGTTTTGGGATTTTATTCTCCACTGACTGGGGATCTGAATCATTTATGTCTTTTGCCGCTTGTTGAATATTCCGAATGTCACCGATCGCATTTCTTCTCTAGGGGGGACAGGATCCTCGCTGATTACTTCACATGTATAATAAGGATGTCGCAGAGACTGAAACCATTTGAGTGGCAATGCATGAGATTCCATCAAAATTGAAAACTACTCAGGCTATAGAGAGCTGCCCTGAATCCTCTGTCGAGTGCGCGCGATCCTAACCTAGGAAGTCAACCAGAAACACTCGATCTCACCCTGAGGACTCGTACACTCGAACTACGGCAACCTGAAAGTCCCCAAATTAAAGGATTGATTGGTATTTGCGGTAAGAAGGGCCTTGATGTCCAGGTTGTCCATCTACGGGCCAAATTAGCTTGGTGCGGTCGCATTTCCACGAAGTTAACTAGTTCCACTTTGAAGTAATATGGTAATAGATTTACAGCAGACAATATCCTTTTCACAATTTGCAAAGACGGGTTCATTCTAGAGTCATGTAGATACATACAGTGCAATGTCGAGGCATAGTGGAACCTCGGTGGAATTTAAGGTATGCAGCTAACCAAATACGACTGGAGGTACCAAGGGACTGGGACTATAAAACAACCTTGAGATTGAAGGATATAAGATATGATCCTGAATTTCTTTGTCCTTGGGCAAACTCGAAATTTTAATGTCCATTTGGTTCGCATTCTTTCTTTATTGTCGGTTTCTGGCTATGCTACTTAAGTAGGTAGAAAGTACATGAATATATCAGACCGGTTAGAATTCAACAATCCATGAACCTAAACAGCAACCTATAAATAGGTTAATAAAAGAATTCCTCCAGTGGACCCTCTGTAGATTGCATCAAGATGCGTTCACAATGAAGTAAATGTCAATGTTTGGGTCAAGTGTGCCACCGCCGCCACTTTGTATAAGAGAGGACCATCACCGTTCGACTTCACAATAATCAACTTGAGCCCTCTTCTTCTCAAACTCTGTCATACACAATGCGCCCCCGATCCGGAAGTATGAATCGGTCCAGCGATGCCGAATCCGATCAAAAACACAACCAAGAGTCCGTCAATCACACAGACCACTCGGTGGTTACCAACCGTGGTGCACCGGCACGTCGCTCTCGCCGTGAGCGATCTGAGTATCGATCGTGGGATAGGGCTAGCGATAGACCGACCACGGGAACAACGGGGTCGAAGAATAGATCCGTCTCGAGACATTGATACTTCGTGCGATATCGTCTGATTTATGGGCTGGATTTGGGTAACTGCTATTTCTTGGATAGCTTGTGCGCAGTCATGCTCATCTAGATCTGAATTACTGTACGGCCTGTATGGTCATACCTTACGATGTATATAAAATGTACCTACTCTGGAAGGTTTCTTTGTCAACTACTCAATCTCAACTCTCATTCGCCGTGCATTTCGAGGTATATCCTATGAACAACTATGAGCTTCCAAGATACTGGTAGAGATATTATTTGACTTTATTCTTATTAAAAGGAAGATACGCTTTATATTTCTTCTATAATCCCAAGGAGGTAATTAGGGCTCCTAAACTAGGGCTAGTGCCCCTCCATGGGCGATAGCCTCCCGCCGCCAACCTCAAAAAGCAACAACCCCGGACCTAACAAAAGTCGCCAAGCAACCCCAAAATGGCGCCAATCCCCATAACGATCGTGACGGGCTTCCTCGGCTCAGGCAAAACAACAATCCTCCTCAATCTAATCCCGCAACTTCCAAAGACCTACAAGCTAGCCCTCCTCAAAAACGAATTCGGCGACGTAGCCGTGGACTCCCAACTAGCCTCAACGCAATCCATCAGCGGCGTGCGCGAAATGCTCAATGGCTGTATCTGCTGCAACCTCGTTGGCCAGGTCAGCGACGCACTGGACCAGCTCCGCACGGAAGTGAAACCCGACCGCATCGTGATCGAGACCAGCGGCAGCGCGTTCCCCGCAACGCTTGCGATGGAGGTGAACAGGCTTGCGCGCGAGCATGGCGGACATTACGTTCTCGATGGTGTGATTAGTGTTATCGATGTCGAGAACTGGGAGGGATATGAGGATACCTCGTACACGGCAAAGATCCAGGCCAAGTATACCGATTTGATTGTTTTTAATAAGTGGGAGGATATGCCTGAGCGGTTTGATGTTTGTCTGGACCGAGTGGGTGATTTGGAGATTGAGACACCTTGGGTTAAGTCGGATAAGGGTCGGGTTGATATGGAAGTGATGCTGGGTATTGATGGGGCTTTGTTTAAGGAGGAGGAGGCTGGCAATGGACATGAGAGTAAGCATCAACATGATCATCAGTCCGAGGTGGAGGTTCTGTCTGTGGTTTTGAAATCCGATGTCGAGGGGAAGACGGTGGATGTTGCTGCTCTCGAGCGGTTTCTCTCTTTGACGCCTCGCGAGGAGGTGTATCGCATCAAGGGGATTGTTCGCTGCTCGAATCAGGATCTTCCGGTGGAGACATCGGATGATTTGAATGCGAGACAGACGCTCGAGTCGCCTGGGATGCAGTATTATATTCTCAATTGGGCGTTTGGACGTTGGACCTGCACTCCTTCCGCTGTGGTTGTCGAGTCTGCAGACCCGGCTGTCATTGCCCGCATTACATTGATCCTTGCTCGATACGAGTCGGCTAAGTGGAAGAAGAAGCTCGAAGCTGGTGGGCTGATTCAGGCAGGCGAGGAAGAGGGTGTGGAGTTGAGTGTGGAGCGTTTGGTCTAGATTTTTGATGAGGCCAGCTCCTGTTCATAGATGCCGTGATGTTGGTACGGACTAGTTTCTCGTGATACCTTGTAAATGTGATGATAGAGAACATGATACACCTGTAAATGAATATCAAGACTTTTCATATCTCATGTTCGAAAGCATTAACGATAACAATATAGCAAAACGTCCAACAGAAGAGATACCAAAAGATACCTAGTCAATGGACGTTGATGCAAACACGACAAGCTCTATTCTAATTTAGAATCTAATGGCGAAAAATACGATCGTATATGCAGGGAGAACGCACGATAGATACTATATTAGACGGCCTCCTCTGGGTAGAGGTCACCAAACAAAAAGCGATTCCAACAAAAAGACAATTGTAAACGATTGTGAAGCAAAACAGTATTCAGACTAGTAGTTGAGCAAAGCAGAAGCACCAGGCTCACTAGAAATATAGATCACCTCGTGGTTGTCCGAGAAGCCGTTGAAACGGGTAGCGCTGCACTTGGTGTAGGCTCCCATCTCCTCAAAATAGAGCCAGTCGCCGGTGTCCAGCAGGCCAGGCAAGGCAATGCTTTCACTTATAACATCGATGCCATCGCAGGTAGGGCCCCAGATAGAATAAGTGATGTCCTCCGAAGTCGCAGAGTTCGGGGAAGCAGGCTGGGAGCCGTCCGAGGCACAGGTGAGAATCTGAGCGACGGGATGCTGGTGATCGAAGATGATGTTCGAAAAGTTGCCATAGACGCCGTCGTTCAGATACAACATGAAAGCATCGCGCGAGGGATCATCGGGATGCGGAATGTCACGCCGCGCAATGACATTGGCGGCCAGAGTGTAGGCAGTGGCGACGTAGTAGCGACCGGGCTCGGCAATCACACGGATGTTCGGCGGGAAATAAGTGTCCACGGCTTCGCCCAGAATGCCCGCGAACTTCTCAAATGTGTCCTGGCAGAAGCCGCCGCCAACATCCAGAGTGTGGAGCTCGTGGCCGATCTCTTCCGCATGATCAAAGACTGTGCGCGCATCCTGCACGGCCTCGAGGAAAGCCCGGGGATCCTCGGCGCCAGATCCGACGTGGAAACTGACACCGACGACCTTGAGGTCCAATTTATAAGCCAGTTCGAGCAACGGACGAGCCTGGTCCATGGAAGCACCGAACTTCATGCTCAGCCGGCACAGGCTGGTCGAGTCATCGGTCAAGATGCGGAGGTAGAGTTCCGCCTCAGGGAAGGTGGCCTTGATCTTGTACAACTCATCGGCATTGTCAAAGGTCATCTGCTTAACGCCGACCTCGGCAGCATAGCGCAGGTAAGACTTGGTCTTGCAAGGCTGCGCATAGATAATGCGGCTGGGATCAATGCCCGTCTGAAGGGCCATATCGATCTCAGACTTGGAGGCACAGTCGAAACCGTTTCCAAGCTGGGCCATGAGCCGGAGGACTTCTGGGTCCGGGTTACACTTGACAGCTGTTCAGTGTTCATTAGCAGGGGTCCATGGTGGGCGGTCGAATAAAGAGTGAGGCCTACCATAGAAGGGCTTGACACGGCCCAAATTCATCTTCCAGCGCATATGCTGGCGGTAGACTTCACCCATATCCGCAACGTAAAAAGGATCCTCCTCACCAGGACCACATTGGTCCAAATCCACCTCCGCCGCACGCTTCCTCAACATATCCAGAACAAGCTCCTTGGCAGTCAACGATGATTGCAACAAATTGTTGTCCCCGCCATGACTGCTGACAAGACCGAGATGGTCCAGACTATTGGTATAGTCTTTTCTGAAGGTGCATACTTCAGCAGTCGATACACACGCAGTCGGTGCCATAACCATGCCGCTGCGACTCAGCACAATTTGAATAGAAAATAGAGAGATGGTAGAAAGTTTTTAATCGGCAGGCGACTGCGCGTTAGGGAGGACGAAAAGTGTCACAACCGTAGTTGACTGGACCAAGCCTCCTAGACCCTTCCCCCTGAAGAGGAAGAACCTTGAAAGAAGTCCTATGCGGCAGCTCAGAGAACGGGGGGATAATCTCCGGGGACGTCAACGGGACGAAAAAAGGCGCACCGGACGAGAGTTCAGAAAAGACCAGGAGGTGGAATGTTGTTAAGAGTGTCGCGGAGACGTTGGGTGGAGACAATTTGGCTAAGAACCAGAAGATAGGCTACTGGAGCCGTGGTGACCGAATCGCCTTTGGGGATTCCAAAGGCAGGGTCTGAAAAGAGGACCTAAAGAACCGAATAAATCTAAGGGCAGAGAGGTGGTTAGCAAGCCTGGTATAGTCCAGCTGCTATGAGAACTATAAGAGGGGGGGAAAGTATGAGTGAGAGGAAGGGGGGGGGGAAATCGAGGGTTTTTGATTTTGAGAAATTTTTCTTGGGGGGGGCAGTGAGCGAGCTTAGGGCACACGAGGAAATAAAACGCGGCACGGAGTCACACACGGGCATCCCAATCAAGTTAACCTGGAAATAAAAAGACTCACCTTGTAAAATGAGGAGCTGTAGGACCCAAATAGAAAAAGGGAGAGTTGAAAGAAGAAGCCCTGAAAAGATGACGAAGCCCTTCGTCTACCTTGGGGAAAAAAAGAGCGGTGCTGACTCAGCCGGAAAAAGGGTTTCTTCAGCTCCCCAGGGCTTTCGACCGACAGCTGGTCGAATGTTAGAATGGGACCGCTAGTTTTTAGCGCCTCTTGGCCCAGAGGAACATGTATTAATCCGAATTCCGAGAGCTCGGCGAATGTCAGACATCAGCGAATGTCGGGATTCTTTTAGGGGTTATAATACCCTAGTACAGAAGAAGATAGGATTTAGTGGTAAAGATAATACTGTAAATAATGATCACGGGGTCTTTATGAACGTCTATTATAAGCTATGAAGACATCCTAGTATAAAGAGAGATCTCGACATTCGCTAAGACCCCTCTGAGCAGATAGATGGTCGAAACGCGGATTAACACGGATTAATATATTTTCCTTCACGCTAAATTAGCGGTCCCATTCTAACATTCGATCAGCTGTAAGCCCCAGGGCTTTTCCAGGGCTTTTCAGCTTTCCTCACGAGCTTCCCCTCTATTACTCTTTCGGACAAGCCTGCGCGATTAATTTGGGCCTTGCTTAGGCATCCATTATTACCATCTCGCCGGCTCTGCGATAGGTCTTTCTCTTCCTAGGTGCGACTGCATGACGCAGGAGCTAAATCCCATGTTCTCGGAATTGCTGGATTCAATGGCAGCGGTGTGTGTGTGTGTATCTGTGATTTGCCCTCCGAGCAGACCTCGGGAGTAGATCCCAGGTACTTTCGTACATTCAGGTACATACGTGGCAGTACTGTTGGTACTGTCCTACCGGGATGTTTAAATTGTTAGTTATGCACCTACGGAGTACTCCGTACTCCATCTCGAGCTATGTGATATACTTGCAGGTAGTTCTATGCATCATGCCGAGTTACAGTATGCCCAGAACTGCTTGAGGTCAAGCTCTTGAGTAATGGGCCTTGGGCGAGAACCCATAATGACGAACATTTGATCCCACTCGATTCCACTCAGCTGTCCACTTCCGTGCACGGACCAGAAGAATATCACCTACAACATAGTTAAGCCCTAGATGGGATCACGAGATATCTGTATTTTTTCCTATTCTCACAACGGAGCTCAGTCAGATGTACTTGGTTGTAAGTCTCTTATTGCGGAAGATTTTGCCCTTGAAGTATGTAAGAGGATACATCATAACTACAGCTCGTATGTTATAGATAGGACTGGTCATTTAGGAAATGCAGCATACATATTTAGCCCAATGCTAGCACTAATAGTCTTGGTGTATTGATCCCGGCCACCTAGAGGCTTGATAGACTTTGTCCAAACCCGAAATTGTACACCGCGAAGAGTTCCGAGGACTCAAGGCATTCAGTCAGCAAAACGTAGATCATCCTATTTAGCCTCCATTTCTTCGGTGACTTCGTTCTGGTATGAATATAGCTATATCCACCTTTGAATTTTGCTGGTTTGTAAGTGGTCCTCCGGTTTTTCGGGCCATCATTAAATTGGGGAACCGATCCACCCTGGTTCTCTTGTTACACTTGTATAAATGTTTGTTTCGTATCCTCGATGCTTAATCTCATCTACGCCTGAGTAGTGTCAGTGCGATCCCAACATGTATTCTGCGATTGATAGTATTAGACACCTTCAATAGTCAGATGCAGATTGTACGCCATAGTGGTATGAATTACAGAACTATTTTCCAGGAAAAAACAGCATTGTCGTGATTGGAGAATCTTTTCTTTTGACCCAGGGGATCGTTCTCTGGAATTATTGTTTCGTCCCCAGATGCAATGTTCTATATGCTATATTTATCGACTGTAGCAGTAAAATTCAATCTCATCCGCCTCATCGTGCTGAGAAGGGATTTCAACGTTGTCCTGCACCGCCGCAAATCCCGCCGAGCGCATCAAGTCGAAAAACACCGTTTCGCTGTCATGTCGTCTTTTCAGAGCTACCAAGACGATTGCATCTGGGGAGGTCCGAACCATCCGGTCAAGCGTAGAGACTAGCGCGGGCAAGCTATCTGAATTGTAGGTACAATCAGAGACAAGAATGAGGTCAATAGGCCGGGGGCAGAGCTCATCCGGTGGGTCGTCCCAGTCGAGATTTTGATAATGAAGACTGGACATAGTTGCGAGTTGGGCAGCATTCATATTGCGTGTTATTATCTCCTCAACCTCAGGGAGATCTGTGAGTAATACCGAACAGTTCGGGAGCATTGATGCCAATGCAATTCCCGCTATCCCACATCCTGCCCCAAGCTCAACTACCTGGATAGGTCGGTTGCAGACGGATAGGACCTGTTTCAAAGCTTGTATTTTAGGTTCAGGGCCTTTGTTCTTGTCGTTACGGGCCGTCTTCCTTATATCCTCACACATCAGGTGAAGATATGTAACTGTTGCTAGGCCCGCATCCCTAGGAACTTGTATTTAGAATCTCGAGGGGAAAAGCCAAAGTGAAGTCGGGTAGCAGAGTGGCTTACCATATGTGTCGAGCAATGCTATTTCCTGTCTCTTCCCATATTTCCATGGGGAATGGTTCACAGCCGCTGTATTGAAGGCGGCGTTGAACCAGCTTCTCTGCTGGTGTGGAATGAGGCCCAAATGGAGCACTTGTTGCAGCAACCACTAATTGTATGGGGGAATACTCGGGTATGACATATTCTGGTGAGTCCGGCAATTTAACCGTCAACACCATAGACTGCTGGGCCAGATTGGATGGGAGAGGACCCAGGGCAATAGCAAGTTCTCGATTACTGGCATTCCATTTTGTCGTTTTCTGAAACATAACCCGAGAGGAATTCTCAGCTATCACCATCAAATCAACATCTTCAGCAAGAAAAGAGTCCCCTAGATCAGTGGTGATGCAGATAAGAGCGGAGATGTAGATGGCCCCTTTCTGTTGCTGGATTCTGGGGGTTTTCAGGAATCTAACATAGTAGACCATCTTGGAGATATAGAATACAATGCTTTCCCCGAATCCCTCAATGCCTCTCCGTCCTAATCGTATCTTCATCAAACCCAAATTTCCGCCAAAATTATCCGCGCTGACTCAGCAAGGAATGACATCCATTCGTCGGGTTCATGCTGCGGCTTCACTTGCCTCTGCTTACCCCCGTACATTTTTCCAATGTCGCCGGCGACAGCTGGTGGAGCGAATTACACAAGATCCGTCATTAGTAGTCTCTATTCTTCACGTCGTTGCCCAATATGATGCGACCGCGCGACCCCCGCATCCGACAACGGATTAATCAGATCTCCCATAACCTTGAGACCGCCAACGAAACCGCGCAAGAGGGGCTTTATACTTTCTCCCACAACTACATATCCCCGTGTTTTGAATCCATTGGAAATTGCGTGACTGCATGTACAGCACCTTGCCTTCCGAGCCGTGAAGACCACCTAAGGCGGCGACGACGCGGCCAAACCGAAGCCAACTTTGATTTTTACGACGACTGGGCCAACGAAGAAGAAGATGATGGCTTAATTGGATGGGGTACTGGTGAACTCGACCGCCTCCTTGCTGGCAGCGGGCTGGCGCACGGAACTGCTGACCAGCCGCGCCGGCCTAGGGGGATGAGCTACGGGACACAAAACACTAGGCGAAGGAGCACCGCGCACATTCCGGACAATCGCGCCGACCCGACTGTGATTCCCAGCTCTTCATTCCTCGGCTTCCTCGAGCGCTTTCCGTGGAGATTCGGTGCGAGGGGAGTCAAGTATCGGCCTTCAGCTGCAGATCTGCAAGAACACCCCGGCGCCCGGCGCTATACGCACGAAGACGAGCCACTAATGGAAGCTATGGATGACGATGATGAGGAGGATCAATTGTCCCCCATCCATAATAGGAGGAATCGCAGTACCACGCAATCTTCTCGCGGAACGGACAACTCACTTAGTTCCCGCGGGGATCTATTCCCTAGCGATGAGGAGGAAGATGCAGTGCCCCTCGATGATGAGTTTGCGCTCGCTTTTGCGCGCCGGGGAACGGGCTTAGAATCAGATGATCAGTCCGGGGCGAAGTCTGAAATTGTACAGTCTGCATCTGCGTCCAGTCTAGGCGGTGCGTCCTCGAGAAAGACAAAGCGAAAGAAGAAACGGTCCCCAAAGCGATCAACTAGTTACAATGATGCCGCGATTGCTCAAAGTGTTGGTACACCATCGATGGCAGACCTGAAAACAGAAGAGCAGCGCGCGGCATTGGAAGAAGAATCGGATATTGCGAAAAGACGACTCGCTGCACACGAGCTGGCTTTGAGTCGAGGCCTTGATCCGGGAGGCAGCGATAAAGTATGAGATTTTCATCTTCCGGTATAAATGAAGAAGAAATTAACCAGATTACATTTTAGCCTGCCGCAATATCCGCTAGTCCAAGTCTCCGACCACAAGAGCAACTTAATACCTCCAAAAGGACCTTCAGCGAGTCATCAAGCCGCCGGTTGTCCGACAACCAACTCGAGCCATTCCCACGCCTATCCATGTCGCCTTCATCTTTGGCCATGGATTCTCCGGGTTTATCGAAATCCTCACCAAGGGCTATATCTCCACATGAGCTTGGTGGAAATACGACTTCTCTCGATTGATCGTGTTAATGAGTCTTCACACGCATTGCTGTAATTTGCTTTGGGTGATTATTGTGGACCTTTGCCATTGATCACCTAATTTGTATGATATTCTGAGCGATTTTGTTACTATACCCCTATGAATTCTAGAGTCTCGAGAGTGCCAGGAGTTCTCGAGCGTTTTAAATTGCAAATGATAAACCTAATTGATTTTGAGATTCCCCCTCTAGGCTCATAGATCTTCCTCAAACCTTGCCAATTTTCTCCTGCACAGTTCCCAACATCCAATTGCTTTTGTCGCTTCGCTATCGTCCTTAAATGTTGAATTCGGATCTTTAATTAGAGTCCTCTTCATGAGCTTCACCTTCCATTGATTCTCGATTAGAACCAAACCGTGGGGCCGTCCCCACACCCCACGCGGGGCATCCTTAACAGAATTGCTCTTCCGGTCTATCCAGGTACGAGACTGAAGTACATAGCCAAGCTCTGCGATATCCAAATCGCACAGGATTGCTCAATTGCACAGGCTTCGCACCACAGACGAACCTCGGCTCATCCAGCATGGCCAAAGCCGAGTCCGATCTCAGATCCATACTCGATGGCGGCTTTGATCCTCATAAGTTTGCCTGGTACGAGCCAGAACTGATTGAGGTTCCCGAGCCAGCAAAGTCTCTGCTCGAGAAGTATAGCAAAATCCCACCAGGGCACGAGGTTGAACATGTGAAAAAAGTGGTGAGTCCTTTCCATTCCATGGCGAGAGTGCCCACGCTAATGACGAATGAATCAGAGAGATCGAGCATTCGCTGTGGTAAGTTAGACATTTCTTTCCGACAATATGTCCTACAAGCGTGGCCTGTGTGGTTTTCATCAGACGCAATTGTCTTCACGATTCCCTCGTTGGCCAAAGATACTAATAATTATCCCCAGTTTCCGTACCCATGTATTGGATCATTCCGGTTCCTAGACTTGAGCATCCCACAGTCACCGCTCTACCCTGAAATCCTGGACAGACTCAAGTCCGGACAGAAGCTTCTCGATGTCGGATGTGCAGTCGGGCAAGAGCTGCGTCAACTGGTAAGACCCCAGACAGCTCATGCAGGGTCCAGAGCAATGAATGCAACTTAACGTACCAAATTAGGTCTTCGACGGGGTCGCTTCTGAAAATCTTTATGCTTCTGACTTGCGCCAAGACTTCTACGACATTGGGTATGAGCTTTTCAACGACCGCGATCACCTCAAAGCCCAGTTCATTGTAGCAGACATATTCGATGACAACTCCGATCTAGTCAAGCAACTGACCCACAAAATTGATATTGTGAACGCCGCTTCCTTCTTCCATCTTTTCAATTGGGACCAGCAGATCCTAGTCGCAAAGCGGCTCGTTGGGTTACTCCGGGATAAACCCGGCTCCCTTCTAATCGGGCGACAGATTGGTTTAGTGAACCCCCCGCCTCCGGAAGATAAGGAGGCCTCTGGGGAGCACTATCGTCATGATCCTTCTACGTGGAAGAAGTTCTGGGAGCAGGTGGGTGCTGAAACGGGGACGAAATGGGAGGTTGAGACTAGGATGGAGAAATGGGCTGGGGCGGATAAGATGATGAAAGACTACCATGAGGGGATGGACACTTTCAAGCTGAGGTTTAGTGTTCGGAGGCTGTAGGAGTTCCTTTATCATTTGTGATTTGAAATGTATATAGCATTTTTCTAGATTACATCAATCAGTGCTTCTTCGTACACCACTAGATCCTCTTCGGGGTTGATTATACTACACCGAGGATCGGCTGAGCACCCGCAACTCGCCGCTGTGCAACCCTACTGTGTATTTGGTGCAAAGTGTTGGGATGCAGATGCTGAAATGGCAGAGTCGTACTGGAAAGGTTGGATCCCAGACTGTAATTGGTGCATTGTGGAAGCCTTTTGGATCTGCGGCAGCTGCGTTGATTCATCGAATAACCACGGTGGGTTTGCAAGAGACATTATCTCTTGGTCAAATATAGTCCATGAGTCGTCTGCGCTTGGGAGAGGGAATGCTAATGCCACGCTTGTGTCTGGCGGGGTATGCATGGCTTGCATACTAGACTCAAGACGGTGGGAGAGAAAGGTATGAATGCTTGCAGCGGAATGGTTCCTTCGTTCTAGACTTTGGAGATGTGCTTGGATGAGGTGTAAATCTAGAACGAACATTAGAAGAGGTCGATAATTCTGCTTTTTCGTGAGTTGGATAATGCCATACCATCTGGGTGAGTCATGCCGTCTTCAACACCCTGGAGAAGTAATACGGCCGCCCATGTGATCATCTATGTTGTTAAAAATAGCATTACAGGCTCTGGGTCAGAACTTACAACTAAGTCCCAATTAGACCATATGCTCGAATCATCTTGTCTCAGCCTCAACACTGCCCGAGCTGAAACGAGCAACTCGTGTCGCTCAAAAGAACTGATATTCGCAGGACTCAGATCAAATCCACGAGCAGGATGATAGATCGAAAGCACATATAGTTTGTGCAGGTGATACTGGAGCAGAATGAGAATACCTTGTCGATCAGACGGAGTGGGCTCTAACAACAGTCAGCCCCGGAAATTGTATTCTGGCTCGTGGATACTTACGGGATGAGTTATTATATCGTACCAGCCAGTCATCAAGTTTTCGTGCCCAGTGCCTGATGACCTGCGAATCATTTTCAGTAAACGGGGACCGAGCTATAGGCACGATGTCAACCTCATCTGCATTGAGAGAGGACCATATGCTCGGTAGCCCACGGCCGACAAAATGACTCAGTCCAAAGTGCATCATTTCTGCAAGGTCTTGGAAGGCATTTCCTTGATGGCTATCCAGCCGCTGTATATTTGGATTTGCAGCATGTCGTGGGAGGAGTGGATAGGACATGTGCATTGAGGCGTGTTCGATATCAATGACCTGAAGCCAACAAACGTAAGTAAAGTATCCGAATCTCGGGATTTGTTACCTGCTCCTACCTGAAGACCGGAGAACAAGCCACGCCAGTCTTTCGTGGTGGAATTCATCTCTGCTGGACAATTATCAAGCCAGATACGATATGCCATTGCAATCCACGATCCTGTAGCACCAACATAAGCCTCGCAGCTCAGACTAGCCATTATTAACCCAAGGATATCATGAAATGCTTTCTCTCTTTTGGATTGTGGGGAGAGCTTTTGTTCTTCATCCTTGTGCTCTGATACCTGCAGGTAACTTGCACGCAGACACGGAGTCACAAGCTCAGCGATAGCACTATACATAGTGGCACAATATTCCGAGTCCAAAGATGCCAGCCTGGCAGATGGATGGTGCAGAGCAGATATGTAAAGCACAGAAGCGAGCAGGACAGGGGTAGGAGAAGCGAACGCGCTATGATCTGTTAGGAAGTGCAGAAGTGGGAGACTTTTCAAGAAGCTGTGATATTGTTAGATATCAGCCGTCACATCTTGATTTAAACAGTACTTACGAGCTCCATAGCTGCTGAACAACGGATCGCGACCAGATACTATCATCTGGAGATGGACGAGTAATGAGTCGTAAATGCGCAAGCGCTGTCCATACACCATGCAGTGGCACGACTTCCGTGTCTTCTTCGAGACTTGCCTCACGAGACATACTAAGTTGGTCTTCGGGGTCCTGGGGTTCCTCGGTGATACCTAGCGCGGCCTCGATCCTGGCCAGCCGGTTCAAAATCGACTGATGATCCGGGATCACTGACAGAGAAGCAAAAGCTTGATCTTGCTGCATCTCCATTAATTCATGCATTGCAGATGCCTCGACGAGGTGTTAGCTTTGTTTCTCGGTTATTGTTTCCGTGATCCTTTGCTCACATTGGCCCGGGGCTTAAAGACACAGGCTGTTCGAGTGTGACGGCAACGGCGACATGGAGGAGGTCCGGATACTTCGCATTTCATCTGATTCATGTGAGTGGTCTTTTTGCTAGTATATTGGAAAGTAGTCTGTCTATACCTTTAGTCGTCGGCAATTTACTTTGACTGGTTAGCTTTTCTCCACAATACCAATGCCGTCTCGGACTCACCACAGGCCTTGGTCGGCTTCGGGCCGACCATGGCGCCCGATCTCTTCATGGCTACTCAAAGTCACTCTCCATTACTCGCGGTGATAACTGATCAAAAAATCGGAGAAGAAGTAAAGAGAAACAGTTACATCGGGGCTTATCAGCGGTGGGGAATCACCATTTCTCCGCTTTTAGCAGAGACCAATTATCATTCCTCATTCTTTTAGTCAAGACATTGAAAGATTCCAAGATTTGTTTACTTTGATATTTCTACGAAGTTTACGAATTCTATGAATTGTATGACGATATTTATGTTCCCTCGTTTTTAGTCCGTCCTGTGTAGACTTATAAATCCAGGACGGGTCTGAAAAACGGAGAAGAGAAGTGTACCTGGCGGTTCACATTCCCTTTGTTCTTGCGCGAGCATCCTGATGGAAATGAATGCGACATCTTGCAACCAAAGGTAGTGACTGGTTGTAGATGTGATTAGCTCGGTGCCGAAGCACGTGAATATCTTCAGCGCGGTTGGGGGTCAAGGCAGGGGAAGACATGAAAACAGGGAGGAAACAGAAGAATAGAGATGTATACAAATGGGATATACACGATATATGTACAAGGTAGGGTGTGAAGTAGGGTGTGAAGTAGGGTGTGATGGAGGAAAGTGAAGTATATAGAAATACACAGGGAAGTGAGGTGGTGATACAAATTCCCTAAACAAGGATCATGTCCAGTTCGGAGAAGGTGTGGGAAAACAAAGAGGCAACTGCTGAATGGCGATCCTTGGGTGATATCGCTTATGCGGCGGCATCCATGGAAAGCTTGCGCAGCTCCCATTCCGAATCAGCCCAGTCTTTCTTCTCACCCAGAACACAAGTCGCTTGCCGTGAGCCATTCACCAGGAACTTCTCAGCGACCGCGTTGACATCCTTGGCTGTAACATCCAAGACCTGTTCTCTCCAGCGCTGGTCCATTTCATGGGTAACGCCGCTCATGAAGTAGCGGGCCC